TTGGTCGGCTCTACCTCGCGCCTCCAGAGGAAGCCACGCCTAATTCACCACTGCATTTTATGACTCTGCTCCCGCGCTTGGCTGCTGAGTGAGTCCTCGGGAAGCATTTGTGCGCTAAAGGTGAAGGAGTCCCCAACCCTGAAAGACGCCCTTTGCCTGAAATGTGAGGCTAGGGATTAAATGGACGGAGAACGAGCGCCCTCTGGTGGGTTTGCAGCGGCCGGGTCGAGGGCCAGTGCTTGTCTGTCCTAGGGATCCACAGTAACTTTGAAAAGCTTCTTACTGCACGCGTTTGCGTTGCTGCTGACTAAACTCGGGGCCTGTTACATGTTTAGTCAGACTATGTCGCTGAGCTGCAGTCCCAGCCCTGTAATAATATTTCAGAAGGGATTTATTCGCAAAAGACTATTTGTGTTCCCGTATGCCCATCATCTGACACTTTACCTGTTGCAGCCTTAAAACACGTTAAACAACAACGGTGTGCAATTAGAAGCAGCAAAAGAATTTGCATTGCTTATGCTTTAGAAGTTGACTTGGTTTGACCAGTCCTGTTGTTGGGCCAAAGGCAAGTGTTTCTAGTCCATTGGATGCCGTTACTACTACCAGGTAGCATCCTTTGCATATCCACGAGGGGGACAAGATTCAGATGAAATCCTTTCATGATGTCTGTGATGTGTGTATATGACAGCAGGCACATGCATGACACTGCACATGTTTGGAGCTCATGGGGTAATTTGCAGGACTGGGATCATCTCCTTCCATGTTGAAGTCATCAGGCTTGCTTGCATAGCGAGCATCCTTACCTGCTAAACCGTCTTGCTGTTCCCTAGTCTTTTTTCCCTACATTTATTATTTATTTGTGTACACAGTGCATGTGTACACGCTATGTGAACAGGCATGAAGGTCAGAGAACACCTTCGGGAGTGTTCTCTCCCACCTTGGGAGCCCTAGGAACTGACTCAAGCAAGTGCCCGACCTCTGAGCCATCTCTCCAAACCCCGTAATTCTTTTTTAATATGGTGAAATCCAGGAATGGTGGCACATTGCCAGTAATCCCAGAACTCGGGAGGTGTAGGCAGGAGGATCAGGAGTTCAAGGTCATCTTTGTCTCAACAGGGAGTTTTCGGCCAGCTGGGCTACACAATACCCTGTCTCCAGACACAACAGGAAAAACTCTTGGGACTATTTGGGAGGACTCACCTCATAAACTTTGTTTGGGGACAGTTATTGAAAATAGTGGGGCATCGTTTTGAGGAGGAAGTGAAACACATGGTCTACACTGACAGAATGGATACAGATGAACTGTTCTTCCTGTGACTATTACAAGGAATTCAGTCAGAAAGGCTCAAGTGAAATGCTTTGTATTGACTTACTATGGCAAATAGATGCTTCTTGGAACCCAGCCCCCATGGAGTCTCTAAGAGTTGTTTTCCAGCATAACCACAGGTACCTCCTGTTTTCCTGACCTCACCCCACTGGGATCAATATCCTGTTGTGAACCCTCTGACCTGGGTTTTTTTTTTTTTTTTAAGATTTTATTTATTATTATGTATACAGTCTTCTGCCTGCATGCCAGCAGAGGGCACCAGATCTCATTCAAGGTGGTTTTGAGTCACCATGTGGTTGCCGGGAATTGAACTCAGGACCTCTGGAAGAACAGTCAGTGCTCTTAACCACTGAGCCATCTCTCCAGCCCTGACCTGGGTTTTTGTAAGTTTATATATAAGGCTGCTCCACAATAAAGGTGGGAGACAGTCTCTCAGAAAAGGACCAGGAGTCTTGTGGTTCATCCAAATCTCCAGGCTTTCACCCAATACTCGGACTTAGTGGCCAAGAGCAGCCACAAATGGAGGTTCCACCGAGATCAGGAAAGAAAGGGGACCCTGAGAGATCACCCTCAGAAGGCTGGAAAGCAAGTAAGGAGTTGTGAGAATGGATTGCAAAAGGTACTAGAAAATAGATACCTCAACTCCTGAGATAGTTGGATTGGAAAAGCACTGGAAAAGGAGTGCCTCAATTCCTAAGAGAGTTGGATTGGAATAGAGATCACAGCCAATCACACAGAGAAAGTTTAAAGAGACAAGGTACTGGTAAGATCTCATTTTAACTTTGGATTAAGTAATAATGCTAAGAAAATTATTAAGGAAATATGGGAAATCCTCCTCTGAGAAATCCCTCCCATGTGAGCTGCGCACCAGCAGCCAGCTGACCCAGCAGCCCATGCTCTTGTCCACTTGAGCCCGCTGAGGGCTCCAGTCAGCCGACAACGATGTGTGCACAGGATGGCTGGAGAAATCGCCTCCTGAGAAAAAGTTGGGGCGCTATGCTTGGAATAAACACTGGTTTATCCTGCGGAACGGTCAAATGAGTGGTGACCCAGATATTCTAGAATACTATAAGAATGAACACTCCCCCAAGAAACCCCTGTGGATGGATCATCAACCTGAACTTCTGTAAGTAGTTGGATGTAGGCCTGACCGTCAACAACAACAACAAAAAGCTCCAAAAGAGTTTAATTTTTGATATCAAGACCAATGAGCACACCTTATACCTGGTGGCTGAGACAGAGGCCAACATTAATAGGTGGGTCCAGAGCTTCTGCCAGATCTGCGGCTTCAGTCAGACTAAAGAGAGCACTGATGCCCTGAGAAACCTTTTTTCAGTCAGTCATAGTCTCTGCTCTTCTCCAGTTGAGTTCAGCAGCTCCAGTCAGCACCTGCTCCGAGCAAGGAAGTCCTCATCTCCTTCCCACTCTAGCCAGCCCCCTGTGTCAAGCCACATCCAGCCTGACTTGTCTACCAGTGAACCTCAGGAGTGTCAACACTTGCACCAATGCATAAGCCAAAGGACAGAAAATTCGAGGAGTGCCAGCTTCTTCCAGGGGACCTGACAGGAGAGTGATACAGTCGCATAAAAACTTGCCCAGGGTAATAGACACTGTATCAACAGAATCAGTGGTCAGGTTCATGGCTTCTATAGCTTTCCCAAGCCAAGCCAACACTGTGCTTTTGACCTCCCTCGTAGCCTGGCTTCACACAGCCACACCAAGAGCAGCCTCACAGGGTCTGAGGCAGATAGTGAGGATGTGTACTCCTTTAAGGCACAGACACCTCAGTGGGGCAGCCCTCAACAGAGACCTCCAGTCAGTGCCTACAATACCCAACACGAGGCAGAGAAACCACCTGCTGGTCTGCTAAATCCCCCAAAAGGACTATCATGGGTCATTCAGACAGTGCCAGCTCTGATGACAACTATGTGCCCATAAACCCAGGTTCTGACATCCCCATGAGCCCAATGCCCTATCACTTTGACCCACAAGGCTACTCATCCACAGCCCTTCCTATTCATAGAGGCTCTAGCGCAGGAAACAAGATCCAGCCACCCCCAGTCAATCACCACCTCAAGCCTGGCAAAAAAGCAAAGCCAACACCCCTTGACCTGAGAAACAACACTGTCATCAGTGGGCTTCCTTTCAAGCCGCCTGTCACTAAGCCTTGGTCCTCCCAGTACTGCCATTCCATCTCCACACAAAGCATCACCAACACAGACTCTGGAGACAGTGAGGAGAACTATGTCTATTTGCAGAACCCTTCATAGGAGAACTATGTCCCTTTGCAGAATGTCTTCACCCCCTGTATCCAGTGGCACTAACAGCCCAGCTCCAAAAAAAAAAAAAAAAAAAAAAAAAAAAGTGCTGGCAATGTGAATTACATAGCCCTGGACTTCCAGCCAGTCTCCCAGAGCCCTCATCCTAAGCCATCCACATCATCTGTCACATCGGATGAGAAAGGAAAGTATGTCCAAGTGGATAAAGAAAAGATCCAGGCCCTACAAAAGACCATCCAGGAATGGACAAAGATGCAGCAGTCCTCAAGACCTTCCAAAGATACCAAGCTATGGTAAGGATGGCCATCCCTGACACCTCCTCTCCTTTGTGACTTTTGTTCAAAAGATTGTGTGTGTGTGTGGTGTGGCCACACTTGTGTGTATGAAGTGTGATCATAATTGTGTGACTGTTAACAAAAGAATGTTATTGTGTTGTCTTTAAATCATTAATTGCTGGGGAAGGAGCAACAGTTGTTAAAGTGCAGGTTACTTGGGAGGGAAATTTCTGCTTTTATTTCCATGGAGAGTGAAGGGCTGGTATGGTACCAGGCTTTCAGAGTGGTATGGTTTCATGGGGCAGGACCACCTGAAGTAGTGGCCCAGGTGATCCAAATATTTGTTTTCATTTAAATTTGGTCAGTTAGAAATGGTAGTGGTCACAGTCAATCACTTTTAAAAGGAAAAAGGAGGAATATGATATAGAAATGATACTTTGTATTG